AATGTTCATTACTGCGATTGTTTTAGGCAATTTTTTACGTGATTTTTGTGACGAAATTTTTGTACGATAACAATTTTTATAATTTGAAAATAAATTTGTGAATAATCGAAATTAATTGCGAAATCCAGCGAAAGTTTCTCATGAAATAAAAATAATTGTTTGTACGGAAAGTAAGGACCTACGTACATCAAATTGTGTTTAAATTAAGGGGCTCTTTAACAAGGAAAGCGGTAAGAAATAGTCATTCTGTTTATAGAAATGCCAACGATGGGTTCGGAAGTTTCGACCTAAAAATTTCTCCTCAATCTGAACGCCAAACCTGTCAGACTGCACGAAACTTGGCAAAAATATTAAATAGATGTCACACTTTCATGAACTCTGAAAAGTTTTGGCTACTCAGCATTTGACTGCTTTCTGCTCACTATTGAGGATTTTTTACCGAACCTTTCCAGCGTAGAATCATCAAGTGGGTTCTCTGAAATCATATCCAACAAAAATGACAATGCTTAGTACCCAGCAACAACAAAAAAAAAAAAGGATAACCCATCACCAAACCAAGACTACACGCGAAAAAAGGTTGTTCCGTTTTAAGTGAGGTGTCATCTATCAAAGTACTAAACTAAAACGAAACAGTTCAAGCGGAGAGTTATTAGCGTCAGTTGTATTATATAGAAATAAAGTGTCGCTGCAGACACTTGAGTTTGAACATAGATTACCAGTGAGCAAACACAGGCGATCCCATTATTGAATTAAGTGGATCACGTAACCATGGGAGAAAGGCATAAGTAGGTAGTAGCTTGGCATCTAATGGATCTCTATTTCTATTCTATCTTCTGTTACTATTCGGATCACCATTTCTATTCTATCCTCTACTACTATACGGACCGCTATTCTCTATACTATTTCACTATACGGATTACTATTCGAGCGAGTTTTATCGAGCAAGGACTATTAGTGTGAGTGCTACTCGAAGGCGCCTGACACCGCCATTGTTCAGCAGTGGTATCTACGATTAAAAAGTCTCTACTAGAACGTGCATTACGAAAGTGGCAACGAGTGTTCGTTAACATCCCCAAAAGTTGAAAGCAATGTAGAAAGGATTTGCAGAAAATGCGCCTATCTTTGGTTAATCGTAATGATGTGTTAAGCTTACAGGATGATGCAAGTACCCAAGAATCTACTCTAGAAAATGAAAAAAACAAAAAACAAAGAAAGTAAATGAATTTGAGATTGGGATCGATCGCCTCATCCCAAGCAAGAAGACTAGATTTGGTAGTCATAAACAAGAAAATTAGAAACGGTTAAATTGTAGACGTGATTTTGCCAGCGGACCAGTGAGTGAAGATAAAATTAGGCAAAAAATTGTAAACTCGCAGGACCTCGTTTGGGACATCATAGAAATCTGGTTGGCCATTACTGTTGAGTAGTGAGTTAGATCCTCTCGGGTTGTGTGAAAATGTTGAATAGTCCCCCCTCGTTTTGAGGGTCTCTTAGTTGACGGGGTCGAGTCCACAATGTTGTATCTTCTCTCGCTCGTCTTCTTCCGGTCGGGTGTCGAAATGATTTTGGAGTCCGGAGATGAACTTCAACAAAAGGGATTTTTAAACTTATCTATTTTATGAAACACATCAACGTGTACATTTTTAACTAGCCAGTGGGGTTGCTCTATCACCCCCACTGGGTGCAAGTTCCCCGAGACACGAAATAACCACGTCTAATGTCTATGACGTATAAAAACTTAACTCACTGAAATCAATTTCTGTCTAACATTCCCATGCTAGTATTAACCAATCAAAAACGATTTCCTTTGTTTTAACTACCATCTGACCTTAAAGGTCAACCTCAAGTAGTTTGAGCCTAAATGCACTGCCACTAAAAAATAATAGTCTGAATCTAGCAGTATAACCTGTCTTCGACCGGGTCTTGCATTACTGGGGATTTTTACCGTTTATTTGGAGCAGTTTAAGTTTAAAGTCAGCCCACCCGGAAATCTATATTAGTAACAACATTTGGGTGCAACTGAGGCACATCCTCGAATGGGGATTAACAATTTGAATGGGGGTGTCCCTGAAAAGGGCCGTTTTTTTCGTTCTCAATCTTGTTTCAGCCTCACGCACAGCAACAGTTGAAGAGGCATTTCTCCTCACGCGCAGAAACGTTCAGGTATGCTTTTCTGGAAAGTCAATGGCTACGTTGATCTTCGGATTCAGTGGCTCTGATTGAAGCATTCCGAGAGGCATTTTGAGACAGGCAAACTGAACGTTCTAAAGACGATTCGTTATCTCTTATTCGCATGGTGGGCCTGGCGGCAGCGGTTTTGCAACCTGGACAAGTACTTTTCTTTGGTGGCATGTCTTAGGTAAGTATGAATTGTTAAATAGAAAGCGTGGGCAAATAGCAGAAGAGAACGCTGTAAAGCTACAGGGATCACTAAGCTCGATTAACTTTAGGAAAGGTTGGAAAAATAAATGCTGAATAATAAAAAAGCAAGCTTATTTATTACTGCGGTGCAATGCAAAAGCTGGCAGGACAATTAAAAAAAATTAAATTGGGAACGGCTATAAACGACAATGAAAGCAAACTGTAGTAGTAGGCTTTATGCAACAAAAAAGGTAACCTCACTTAAGAGAGAGATTGAAATCTTGGCCAAGAGAAGGAGAATGTGTAATTTGGACTCAAAACCGGCACTGAAGAATTATCTATCAATAAAAAAAACCCCATCGAAATCGGGTGAAAACTATGGAAACGCATAAACAACATTCGATCACCCCCACCTCACACACAATTTGAGAATTATAGATAATATTTATAGATACAGATAATGGCATACCCAAAATAACAGGATAGGTGTCTAGTATCGAGCGGCAACTCGACGTGCGATTGATTCTTGCAAGTGGTTGGAAAACCTCTAGAGGATGTCGATTCATGTTATCTTGATATCTGATAGCGCTGATAATAATAGATGTAGGATCTTACATGTGAATAGACCTCTCCAGCACGTCATACTATGTTTGTTTTAAACTATTGTCAAGCCAATACAAGACCCAAGAACCAATCAAGGTAGGTGGTTATTAAATGAGGTTGTTGTCAGGTTGGACATTAGAGCGGATGCAAGACGCGTTTAGCGTGAGGATATAAAGAATAGATAGCGGTTGACATTAGACGTTAAAATTGGAGGGACAAGTAGTGTAGGACCCGTTGCCTTCCCCTGCCACTTTTACCGTCGATATATCCTGTAAGTGGCAGATTCTCCAAACCGTCCTTCTTCATTACGTGACTTGATTTGTTTGTTTAACGGCATATAAACTCCTCATGGGTCATTCAAAGCCGAAATTTAGTTTTCTTGGAAGCTTTGAAATAATAAGAATATGGGATGTTATATTGCTTCCACAATTGAATACATGGTAGATGATACTCAGCTTTTGTGCATATACATGTTTGTGTGGACATAATCACTAGAGGCGATGATATGTGTGTTTTATACTGTAGTTTTGTTGTAGTTATATTTTGAAATACAGTTTGATTTTTTTAAGAAATTTAGGATATTATATGGATTAATGTCATGAAAGAGTTCTTTTATGTTGGTTGTTTGGTTGATTTTTTTGGCAATATATCAACCTCTATGGGTTATTTGATGCCGAAATCTAAATTTTTTGAACACAATTGTATGGCTTCAACTAAATATATACTAATACTAAATATATACTAAATACATAATATAAGTACGTATTGTTGGTAATTTCATTATAAATATACATTGTTGAGAATTTTTTTTATATAAAAATGTATTTTTATACTTTCATAGTGTTTTTCTTTTGTTTGGTGGGGTTTACTATTTGCCGATATCTGAAACCCTAACAACTGCTACTACTCCGGATCAGGGTGGACCTTGGCACAACAAAACCTCCTGATCAGAGGCCTTACTGCCGGATGTGGTTCATCGTCATACCCAGGACTAGCCATGATGTGTCCCAGCTGTTTCGTTCAGATTCTGAGTGTACATGTCAGTTTCTAGTTTTTCTTAAGACTTCCTGTTTGCTTGCATGATCCGTCTATAGTATTCCCAGTATTAATTTATACACTATGCCTTTAAATTCCTTGAGGAACATAGGACCGCAAGATATCGTTGCGGTTTCAATAACAAGCCATTTTTTAAGTGAGTAGGTTGTTAGCTTACTGCACAACCCTCAATCTGGATGATCAGGTTTTGAATTCAGAGTTGTCCTTCTACTCGACCATTTCCCATTCAAGGCTATAGAACCCGGTCTGTTCTGCTATTTATTCATACCTGCTGGGAGAAGGTGATTCATACCTTTCCCAAGAGTATTAGCACTTACCACGTAAGTGAATGTAATGGATTCGACTGGAATTCGAACTCAGCTCTCCGATTCCTCAATCCGAGCCACTATACATTACTCAACAGTTTATAGTTATAAGAAATAAATTAAGAAAAAAAAATGGTCACAGTCCAACTTTAACGCAAGAAGCTAGTAGACAATATTGATAGCTAATAGCCAATGAAACTTCAAGATTGATGTTATTATGGCTAACTCAATCTGCTACGATTACAATATGAAGTACTAAGATCGAACTCAATGAAATTGTTACGGTATGCGACGCTAATTTGCTCACTAATACTTTATCTCGAAGAGATTAAATCGATATTTACTAAGGTTAACCTCATAATGTACAAGTCTTCAAATATTGGACATTCTGTAACTTTCAAACTCACCATCCTGATAAAAGCTTTCAAACAAACAAGCCAAATATATATATATATATATATCGGATTTTGTTTCTTAGGCGGAAACAACAAACAGCATTCATCTAAAGGCTTTATGATGTAGTAGAATGACCGACCTTCCGTTTTAAAAATGAAAACAGCAAATTTAGAATGGGAAAAACCCACCGAAAACAAAAGAAAACAAAAACACAAAACAACGGATATTCCAAATAATCCTTGCGTCCTGGAGTGGATTTGAGCACCTTTCCCTCCCACAATGTTAGCACCCAAGTTGGGGTGGCGATTACAGATCGCGTTACCAAGAGCACTGCTTAGCGTCACTCTGTCTGTCTGTAAATCTAAAATCAGTGCTGAGAATTGCCATTTCTTACCTTTCCGTCCTGTGTCTATTAATAAGCTGGCTTACGGCCATATCATGTTGAAACACCGGTTCCCGAACAATCAGCAAAGTTAAGCAACGTCGAGCCTGGTTAGTACCTAGATGAGTGACCGCTTGGGAATAGCAGGTGCTGTAAGGTTAGATATGCGGGTGGTGTAATGGATAATGACTCAGAATTCTTAATAGGAAAACTGTGTTCCATTTCCAGTTGGGTACGTTATATTCACTTACGTGCAAATACCCTTCGGAAAGGTATAGATCCATCTTTTCCTTCCTCCAGATATGGGTTAATTAGTAAAACTTGCATTACTAAATCATTATTGTTTCAAACAAAAGAAAATTACTTACAACCTATAAATATTTTCTGGCTTTAAATAACCTGAAAAGGATTGTTAAGCTGTAAAAGATGAATCAATCAATATTAATAATCTGGCTGTGGAGAAATGATAAGCAACCTCATCTCACAGAATATTGCATTGCGTTTGATCCTCACTGGGGGCCTAACACTCATCAACTGGTGTCGTACGAATATTTACATAGAGTATTCTTTTGTAATTTGCATCCTGGGCATGACGACAAACTACATCCGGCAGCAAGGCTTTTGATCAGAAATTTTCAGGAGCGTGGAAGCACTTCTTTATGGTTCCCAGGTCCTCCGAGACCTGGGGTGGTAGCACCTGTAAGGGTACCAGCTATGGGTAAATAGTGAACTCTCAAGCTGGGGTCAAAACATTATGAAAGTGTAAAAACAGGTTTTATAGTAAATATACCAGCCATACTTTTTTTGAAAAAAAAAAAAACATATTACCAGCTATAAATTTTCCTCACCGCAATAGAAGTTCTTACCACCAATATTTTTTTGTAAAAAAAAAACAAAAAAAAAACGTTAACCGGGATATATTTGATTATTGACCAAAACCCTCTTTACAAAAATACGTCAATGAAACCCGATCTATAATAAACCGATTTCTTACAAAGAATATACATTTTATTCATACGAACCTATTCTAAAAATTTTGTCGTCATTAAATAACCCATTGAGGTGTTGATATACCGTAAAACAAAACAAAACAAACAAACCTTAGTAAGTTAACTATATATTCATTTTTTAAAATCATTTTATTTTAAGCAAGGCGATAAAGCCACGAAGACGCAAGGAGTTATGAATACGAAATACAATAAAAAAAAACTTTTTTTTCTTCTTCTTCTTTATGCTGTGCCTCCTTAGGACGCTGGCGATCATCCTGTTTTTTGTAGCTCTTAATACATTTTGTCTTTATTTTATCTATCCTAAATCTTGTTTCGCCATCCATTTACCCAAAGTCGTTAGGTAGGTTATGCGTTGTTTTTCTTTGTCCCTCTTATTTTCAATCTATTCTGTGAGTATCAAATTTTTCTAGCCCTCTATCCACTAGAACCACATTTCTATTGCTTTATTTCTCTTCTTCATCTGTGAGGAGATTTGTCTAGCATCCACTGCTACTGAGGAAGACTGTTATTACAGAGCAGTTTAGTACCCTTTTTTTTGTTTCTAATGAAATTTTCCTGTTTTCTTAATATTCTGTCTAGTTTCTGGACGGCTGCTTTCACTATTCTAATGTAAAAAATTAGATATTTCACAGCAGTTCAGCACTCTTTTCTATGTTTCTTACGAAATTTTCTTGTCACTTAACACTTTGCTTAGTATCTGGAAAACAACTTTCACTATTCTAATGTAAAAAAAAATTAGATATTACACAGCAGTTCAGCACTCTTTTCTTTGTTTCTAACAAAATTGTCCCTTTTCTTAATGCTTAGTGAGGAGAAAGGACAAAATATAAAAGAAGCGATTTCAAGGATAATAACGATTGAGATTGCATTTAATTTTTTGAAGATATGTAGTCGACAGGAATGCAAAAATCCAGAAATGAGTTCCAAAGGCGAGAGAAGAAACTATTAGTATAGAACTTATGGTTGTGTTTAATAATTTCAGCAATCCAGCACTAGGATGAAATTCAGTTACCGTGAAATTACTCGCAGAAAAAACAGAAGAAAGCGACGGTACGTCTGTGAGAAAGTGACTGTAACAAGCTAGATTATTAGACCATTACTACTATTGTAGTGAGGTCGATCTTCACTAGTTGCCAAACTTGTAGCCTTGTGTCACACTGATTTTAACTTACAGAGTAACCTTCTGTAGGAACAATAACAATGTATATTTGCCGATCATTAATACTGAAGTGATGTCGATCTTTACTGGGTGCTAGACACTTTTATTCTGTGTTTCAGTCTATTCTGGAAATAGTGATAAAAGTTTCCAGCACAGGCAATGACTGAGTCTCGGGGCTTAGAATATTAAGACACGTGGTCGGTGACAGGTACTTATACACACTTTTTTTCCTGACTCGTTTTTCAATTAAGCGCTGGCAAATTGTACCAGTCCCAACTCGTTAATTCATCAGTCCTTGAGAAATCTACGAGACTATTAAGTCTCAGAATTTCCTTGTTTTTTGTATGTTCTTTTCTGATAACTTATGTCAGAGTTTACGAGACGAGGAATTATCATTATTATATGCCTTGTTAGCCAAACAAGCATGCCCATCTTTGGTTGATACATAGACAACGTTTCGGCCGTTGTACCTTCTTCAGGTGTTTCTAATTCTCTGTAAACTTTTATTCAATCCACGGGTGTTGATAGCTCTTATTCCGCTTTCTCCGTTTAAGGGAGATAACTCAAAGGAGACAACTCGTATCAGTTAATACTCGGTGCATATCATGGACCGAGCGTGTGAGCAACGATGAGGTCTTAGAGAGATTGAAAACAAGGAGGAGGCTTATACTTAACATCAGGAAGAGGCAGCTGAAGTTTCTGTGGCACATACTGAGGAAGGAGGGTCTGGAGAATCTGATACTCACAGACCGAATAGAGGGAAATAGTGACAAGGGAAAACAGCATGTGACATACCTGGCGAACTTAAGCAAGTGGATGACAGAACGTGGTCTGTGGGAGGAAGCAGAGGGAAGGATCTTGTTGAGAGCTGCAAGGGATAGAGGGAGGTGGAGAGCCATGATCGCCTACGTCCTGAAAAGACATGGATACATAAAAAGAAAGAAGTCGATTGTTCATTTAATCCACTAAACCAAAGCATGTGACTTTATTGCACCTGATGACAGCGGACCTAGCAGATTAAATGTTTAGTAAAAATGTATGGTTTTCCCTGACAATTGCGTTTGGTTTGGTTTCGTTTGGTTTGGTTTGTTTTAAGGCATATCAACCTTAATGGGTTACTTAATGCCGACAACATTTTTTATTGCCGTTAAAATTTTGTTTTGTCAAAAATCTATTTCTGGTAATATTTTTCTTTCAAAAATGTATTGCTGGTAATATTTTCTCCCTTAAAATGTATAGTTGGTAATATTTTTTCTTCAAAAACATTGTTGGTAATATTTTTTTTTTCCTTCGAAAATTTATTGCTGGTAATAATTTTTTACAAAGTATTTCTGGTATTAAAGCATATTTTTGCACTTTCATAGTGTTTTACCCCAGTTTTGGGGTTAACTATTTGCCTATAGCTGTGATCCTAACAGGTGCTACCACCACGGGTCACAGTGGACCTAGGAACATCAGCAATTAAGATGTGGTTCCACGCTCCTCAAAACCTCCTGATCAGAGGCCTTGCTGCTGGGTGTAGTTTATCGTCTTACCCAGGACGACTGACAATTATGATTTCAATCCTTGAAAAGTCACATACTGTAATTTGGCGGAACAAACGGACAAGTGACATAAAAATGAATAAGACCGGTATTAATTAATTGTTGCATATTAACTTATATGAAATATCCCATAATCATGGAAAGTGTAAATGAATTTCTTGGTTTTTTGCTTAAGCTAAGTCACTTATTATTTATTGAATACCGGCAACATTTTAATGTCAGAATATCTCTTAGCGATAACATGATTTGGGATCAAATCGCCCTGTTTGAAAGAAATGGATCAGTCGGCGATCTCCCGGAAAGAGGTCCCGAGCTCACTGTACTCACCGTTGGGAGCTGTACAGCAGAGTTCCCGTTAGTATCTATCAGCTTCTACCCGCCGTCGCTCTGCTCAACTAACATCTCAACAAGACATTCCGAAACTGGATTTAAAAATGATTCCATACAAGATTCATACGGTCCAAACTTTACTACCCCCAGATACCCATGTGTTTGTAAAAGTTATTTTTGTTTTATATCATTCAGTGGCCATCCTGTATTAATTCAATAAATAATAAGTGACTTAGCTTAAGCAAAAAATCAAGAAATTCATTTACACTTTCCATGATTATGGGATATTTCATATAAGTTAATATGCAACAATTAATTAATATTAATAAGCACCGGTCTTATTCATTTTTATGTCACTTGTCCGTTTGTTCCGCCAAATTACAGTATGTGACTTTTCAAGGATTGAAATCATAATTGTCAGTCGTTCTGGGTAAGACGATAAACTACGCCCAGCAGCAAGGCCTCTGATCAGGAGGTTTTGAGGAGCGTGGAACCACCTCTTAATTGCTGATGTTCCCAGGTCCACTGTGACCCGGGGTGGTAGCACCTGTTAGGGTCCCAGCTATAGGCAAATAGTTAACCCCAAAACTGGGGTAAAACACTATGAAAGTGCAAAAATATGTTTATTACAAATCGTTGGAACGTCGGCCACCTGTTACTACGAAATTTCGATAGTGAGTAATAGGTTCGTTTAAACATCTATAGTAAATACATGTAGAAGGTTTTCTCTCGCTTCTACATTTTACTTGACAAGTAATAAAGGGCTGATTATATTTCAAAGTCACATTCATGGTTTTCCTTAGATTGTGCCAAAGATACATATAAACAAAACTTCGCAAAATCTAAGCTAGTCT